GTGCTGCCAGCGGGCCAATGGACCAATAGACGCCTGTTTCTGATGTAAGTGATTGCAGATAGAGCACTGTGAGGTAGAGTAGGTGTGTGTGCCACGGGGAGGTGGGTGCTTCTGATGCAGTTGGTTCCAAGCCAGGGTGTCGCTGCATCGGCGATAGCTGGATAGAGAATTGACAGCATCAGCAGTAGGTGCTGAGTAGACGAGCCGTCGAAGGTAGTAACAGTGAGAGATGGAAAAGTCGGCTGCACCAGACAGGCTGCGGACTAGCGCGGTGAGGGAGGTGGAAGCTGTGACAGATTCGTCTCGAGTCGTGTTTTGGCATCTCGCTAAGGGGCCCCTTGGCTGCCCTTCCGAAGACGGTAGTCGCTCGGACCCCAAGCGAGGTGCACCCCAAGGGTTTTGCATGTCACGTTCGTCGTTACGCTGGGCTGGGCGGCCTCTTGTGTCTGTCTGTCTTGCGAACGGGAGCTTGTTGCATTGGGAGAGAGTTTGGATGGCTGTCAGTGTGACTGGTGTTCTTATGGCATGTAGTCGATTTAATTGTTGTAGGTGTTGTTGGCCAAGCATCACTGAATCCGAGTAAAGTATGCTAGTGCCAGCTGATCAGAGACAGAAAACCAACGATTTAGATTAATCGCCCAATGGACAGCCAGAGCCGCGACGTTGGACCCTCCCCCGAGAGCCAAAATGCCCCGGGCAAGGCTTGTTGCCCTCTGTAAATTAACGCTCCCGCTGTCTCGGGGGGTGCTAAACCTTATTGCGGCCAATTAAGGTGGTTGGACCCCCTGAACTGGCATTTTAGCTGCCGGAGCCACGGGATGGCGTCCTCCCCCCACCCCCCCTTTGCGCCGTGTGGTTCCTGTTCCTGCAGGTACGGAGCCCTGCCTGCATCCAATCCAACCCAACTCTTTCTTCAACCTTACAACCTTAGACATCATTGACGTGCCTTTCTCCTGTTCTCTGGGAACCCGTCTCTTTTTAGGCTGCGATACGTATCCTTTTCTGCTGTACAGATACACGTGCCCGCCTTTCAACAACCCCAACCCGCCAAGCGCATCCATCCCCTTGAGTCTCTATCTCCGTCCCCATCGTCCCTGCATCTGTACCTTACTGAGTCTGCATCACCCCTCCTCCCAGTCGTTCTCGGTTTTCGGCTTCTCTGAACCTCACAGAGTATGAGCCGTGTTCCCTCCCACTGCACCCTCTCACCAGCCAATGCCTATTCGTACCTTAATCCGCATGAGTCGGCACGGCTTGCCAGGCGGAGCCAGCTCTGCGTTCGATGTACATGCTGGGCGTGCAGCCGCCTCAAACGGCCACTGAAGACTGTGAAACAAGCCCGCCCCCCTCCTCCCCCCCNCCCCCCCATCTCTCTGCCTCTGCCTCTCTGCCTCTGTCTCTCCCTTTCCCCTTCTCTGCCACATTCTCTCTAGACTCTCTCCCGTTGGAGGTACAACCATTACACTGCTCCATCCGCTCCACGACCTCTGACCGCGGGCGAGTCTTCCCGGCCCACAACACCAAGAAATGCCCAAGACCTCGTGTGTGATGGAGAACAAAACGAGACGAGACCGATCCAATCCAGTCCGGCCCAGCCGCCCCTCCGTCGTCATCCATAGTCTTAGTAGAGTCCCTGCCCTGCGCGCTCAGCGCTCCTGTCCACTCAACTTTGCTCATCTACCCGCCCTTGTCAGCAGCCACACGCTGTAACCGCAAACCACCCCCATCCCAACTCTGAGCAACTCTTATTAGCAGACTAATTCCAAAAAATCCATGGACCCTGCTCGTCCAGTCTCAACACCGACTTGGCTGCCCATTGCTACCATTAACGCCCTGCTGCTACCGTTTGCCCAACCAGAGACTGAACTAGGACCTGACACAAGGCCATCGGGCGCTAGACATCGGCTTATTTCTCTTCCAGCACTGCCATCGTCTTGTCATTCCTTGGTCGCGCGCCAGCGAGATAGCCTGTAATGCGACGTCCGCCTCAGCCTGCTCTCTCCCTCGTCACCCGTTGCAAGCATCCAGCACCAGCACCAGCAGCACCAGCACTCGGAGGTCTCCCTGTCATTAAACCTGATGTTGGTAGCGTTGCGCATCTCGTCGCTCGGGGATCGACCGAAGGGAAACGGCACCGCGGCCCTCCTCCTGTCAAACCTCGATCCGCTTGATCCGAGCCCGCGCGTCGAACGACTCGAGCACCGCACTGCATGCCATCCACGCGTAAAGTGATAACTATCTCCGGACCGGAGCATCACCATGCTCGTTGTGCAGATTGACGGGTAGCCGGCCCAACAGACAGCCGCTGGGACTCATGCATGGGTTGCTGAGCATGTCACCTACGTATGGCGCCGGGATGCGCAAACGGCTTGCCGGCCGCATGAAGCCTTTGTGCTCAAGAAAGTCGCTGCAATCTGTTCTGATTTCCTCGGAAACATGTAAACCTCGCTAAACAGCCTGACGGGCCTTCAATCGCGAGCCTGAGGAGATCGGTGGACACCGCATCTCCACGTTTCTTTCCAAGTCCGGCTTGAGACCCGGTTCCGATATTCCAATTACTACGGCAATGGACCAACCCATACGTCGACTAAGACCTCCCTATCGTTGTTATCTCCAACGACACACGAGGCCATCTCGGCTACCTAGGTTGGCACTAGTAGTGTCATCTCTTCTATCCCGCTATCCCGCGCTGTTAAGGCTCCTTTCGGATCTTGCTCCGCCTTGACCCCCATGCGTCTTACAACTTGGCTTGCAGAAGCGCGTAAATGGACACTTTAACGAAATGGGGACAGGGGTCTTATTCCCTCCTGCTGCAGTGCGGAGAGGAGAAGATTGACCAAGCCTAGACCCGTCCACAGTGAAACAAAACGAACTCTTGGGCGAGAGGACAAGAGCGCGCTAATTGCTAAATTTTGTCGCAGCAGCCACGAGGTTTACATGGTTGCATTGGGGCTCTCGAAGGACCCGCCAGCCCAAGTTCGCCCGACCCCGACTTGGACAACCAAAAGAATTCCTCCGTCCCAAGACCGACAATCTGGGCACTGCAACTGCAGAAGAACGGATAAAGTGGCGAATCAGAGCGCTGCTGACCGAAAAGCCTGCGCTCCTGTCGTTCGTGACACATGCCATGGCGAACCTCAGACAAGGAACGGTGTGGCGCTGTTGCATCATCGGATGATGGAACAGATCGTGTTACAGACTCGGCCTCCCGCACGTCGATCAGATAAACTCTCGCGTAGCCGCTTCTCAGGACGGTCGACCTCACCCCATTCCCCACACCACCCTGTCTTCCTTATCCCAGGTCAAAGGAGTCAACTCAGCCTCATTGTCGCGGCTCTTGTGTCTGCTGCTGTTGCTGCTGCTGGCCTTCGTAAAGGCCAGTGTAGTATCCGGCGTAGTACCAAGACATCAGTAGTCTCTTCAGTCCTTCGTCTTGCACTGCAGATCAAAACCACAAGGGCGTCCTGGTCAGTCACGGCTTCTTTGATCCATTGGCAGAACGGGAGCGGCACTGGGCATATCGCAGCCTCAACATCCCGAGTACGCAGGGCATTCATTACACATACCTGAGCCAAGTAGACCTTGCGGGCCCGTTGTCGCAGGACTTGGGACGCTGCCGCTGCTGCCCGAGATAGGCTTTGCGATGGGCGCGCCAACTTTGGACTGAACCTGGAGCGAGCAAGGAATGCGTCAGCGGAAGCGAACAAGATGCAGGACAGATAGATGCCAAGCTTTTCTGATCTGCCTGGATTTCCTCTGGGGTGAATGGGTTGTTTTACATCCGTGCTGCCGCCCGCCCCTTTCGTTTCGTGGGCTACCTCTTCGTCGTCCACGATCTCAGGCTGATCGACCGCTTTCGTTTCTGAGTCGCCGGTCTTATGGGTCCTAGGAGATCATGGAATGTCAGAAATGATCTTGGTATTGCATAAATGTGGAGGAGAGTCTGGTCATACTGGGATTCGGAGGTCTCCTGAAGATCGACATCCTCGAGCCTGCCTCCCTTCGCGTGGATGCTGTGATACTTCTGCCCAGACGATCAGCCGTTGACACTCGTGGGGATGTTCTCCTGGCCCAGACGGGGGGCTCTTACCTTGTACTCGTTCAGAGCCTCATTCCAAGAGTCTATGAGGGCAGAATCGTCCCAAATTTCAGCATGCGTCATATCCATGTCGTTGCTAGGCATCTTGGTTGCTGTGTAGGAGCAGTCTCAATGACGGAGAAGCACGTGTCTGGGAAAATTGGCAGTGCAGGTCGAGCCTTTGGTCTGTTCTCGACTGTTCAAGTGCCAGAGACAAGGAACAAGGCCTGCCTGACGGTGTTGTGTAGATAGAGTGAGTTTGAGAGGTGAGCGTGTGTGTGGACCCAGCGGTTCCTGTCGAAGCCGTCCGATTGATGCAAGGAATGAAGTTATTCCGGTTTCCTGGACAGGTTCCTGTTTGGTGCTGCAATTTCGCTCAATCGCTTTTATTCTTTGGCAAGTTGAGTCTAGAGGCGCGCACGTCACCTTCGTCTGCTGCTACGGTACTGAGGCCAAACGACGGAGTTGCTAGGTGAGATCAGGTGTTGTACTTCTTGGGCTTTGTCAGCAACAGACAGTATACCGACGGGAGCACTTAGGCCAGTCGGTTAAAGCGAGTATTTAGAAATTGAGATGTGTTGTTGAAGATGACGAAGTTGTTGCGGCTCAATGACAGGAACCGAAATGGTCTTTCGAGCGACAACCCGCACAGCGATTGAGTGAGCTCCTTAAGAGTTGAGCTTAGCGCGTCGCGGTGCTGAGAGCTGTCGGATTCATCGCTCCTTCAGCACCGATGCCCCGCTAAAAAGTCACTGGCCAGAACAGCTCGGGGCACCGTGCCAGCGGGGTGCTAGCTTCACCGCCCCCGTATCTGCGTGGCAGAATCCAGGAAATTTTTATTTTTTCGTTCTTGCGATAGGTACTCGACCGCTGGTACCACTGATTTGTCTACACTCAACAGCATCTCCAACCAATCACAAATATGGCCCCCGAGCTGAGGAAGAGAACCAGATGTGAGTTACAATCCCTCCGCGATCTCAAACTTCAAATTCTTACGTTAGTACAGCGGTCACCGCGGCTGAGAACGCGCCCGCGGCCAAGAAGGCCACAAAGGCCGAGAAGGTCGAGAAGACCGAACCTGCGCCCAAGAAGGCCAAGGCTGAGAAGGTCAAGGCCGAGAAGGTCGAGAAGGTTGAGAAGAAGGCTACTCCCAAGCGCAAAGGTATGGAGCATCGTCGGTATCCTTTCGCGCATTGGCTAACGACCAGTTCTGTAGCCCCCGAGGAGGCCTCGCCCGTCGCCGCGAAGAAGCAGAAGCCCGCGAAGGCCACCCCCAAGACCACCCCGAAATCCAAGAAGGCTGCTGCCAAGCCCGAGCCCGCTGAAGAGCCCGAGTCCGAGCCCGAGACCACCGAGGTCGTCGAGGAGGAGGCTGAGACTTCTGTTATTCCTGTCGAGGATGGCGGCGACTCTGACGAGGAGATCGATGCCGACATCCAGGCACTTGCGGCTGGATTGGACCCGGAGGACGCGCCCGAGGCTGACGGAACCCTCTTCAAGGAAGGCCAGGACGTGGGAACGATCCCCAAGATCAGCAAGAAGCAGAAGAAGTCCATTGGAGGATCAAGCGAGGAACCCGGCGTGGTTTTCATCTCGAGACTGCCCCATGGTTTCTACGAGCACGAGTTGAAGGGCTACTTCTCTCAGTTTGGCAAGATTAACAGGCTGAGACTCGCCCGCAACAAGAAGACCGGCGCAAGCAAGCACTGGGCTTTCATTGAGTTCGCCGAGGAGAGCACCGCCCAAATTGTCGCGAAGACCATGGACAGCTACCTCTTGTTTGGCCACATCCTCAAGGTCAAGACCGTCCCCAAGGAGTCGCTGCACGAGAACCTGTGGAAGGGTGCCAACAAGCGCTTCAAAAAGATCCCATGGAACAAGATGGCTGCCAACGAGGTCGCAAAGAAGAGGACGGAGTCGACTTGGGCTCAGAAGGTCTCTAGGGAGGAGAAGAAGCGCGAGGAGCGTGCTAAGAAGCTCAAGGCGATCGGATACGAATTCGACATCCCCGACCTGAAGAAGGCCGTCGCGCCGCCGCCCGAACCCATGGCTATTGACGCTCCCGAGGAGCCCAAGGCCATTGAGGCAGCACCGGCTGAGGAGAAGCCTGCTGAGGAGGAGGCTGCCCCTGCGGCGGAGGATGAGGCAGCGGAGACGCCCAAGACCAAGGCAAAGGCGAAGAAGGGCGGCAGAAGAAAGTCCAAGAACTGAACTCCTTCATGATATCCCGCGTCACGAGTGTTGTGTGAAAAAGTTGTTCTGCATATTTCTACTGCATTTAATGCTTGGGGAGTCCATCAAAAGGGTAATCACTGGGATTAGTATGTACGCGCATAGCGAACCCGTCGCACCCATTCAAATTGGGGCAAGCGCCGGGATTATAAAAGGCGAATCTACTCTGCTTCAGCGTCAAAAAAGATCAAGTCATTGGTTAAATAGGCTCGATCAAAAATTATGTCAGCGAAGGGTAAAATATGTGAAGAAGAGAAGAAGAAGTGGAAAATTTCGTCACGAAGCAGAGCTTCTTGAAGGTCTTGCGACTGATAAGATAACGCTGAGTCAGCAACCGGAATGGGTCCTTAGACTCAGCTGTCGGCGCGCCGACCTTGTGGTCGCCAACTCCCCAGTCACCGATGCACCTCGTAAAGCAGGGTTGTATCTCTCAGTCATCTGCGCCATGCATTTCGTAATTGCTTGTATTATCTCATGTGAACAAATACGGGCATTCAACTGAAGAATAACATTGGTCACCTTATTTTCGGAAAGCCACCTAAAGTCAATGTCAGACTGCGAGACCAAGGTGTGATTCGTGTTGTTCAGTTGACCAGTTGTCGAGGCCGTCGTTTCATCTATCGATCCTGTGCTGATACATGCCAGGACACTGTTTAAGTTACAAGTTAACTTAGATTTCTTGAAAGGAAAAAGCAATCGAATCTACTGATTCCCAAAGAAATAAATTATAGACCCTATCCAACGAAGCTCGTTTCAATTGAGACTTGTGAGAAAGACCGTTAGTGCTCAGCAAACGGTTGGCGCTAGACGCGCTGTCCTTAGCTAATACTTATCGTTATCGGTGCTTTTAGTGGAGCTTTCCGACCAGTGTGGGGGACCGGGGGGCAGTAGGTACCTTCCGCGTGTGAAGTGAACACGCTCGCTAATTTGCGAACCTAGCTTACGTGGTGTAAGTACATACCAACCCGCCCGATGCCAAACTAGACATCTTGCAACCTCCCGACGAACCTCGAAAAAATAGCCCATTCCACTCGGTGTATACCAGCTCAAGGGGCTCTGCGCGCCTTCCGATGCATTTGAGAAGCCAAAATGTCGGCCGCCGCTCCCTCTAGTGACCCGGTCCAAAACGCATCTTCAGGTTCGCTGATTGAATCCGCCCCTCGGAGGCAAATGATGCGATCGCAGCGCTAACCTGTCTGGCCACGCATCTAGGGAAAAAGAAGAACAACAAGAAGAAGAAGAATGCCAACAAGCCCAAGGAACCGATAGAAACCGACAGCGCTACCCCGCAACGCGACGCTGCCGAGGATGGCGATGATGAGCCGGAGACCCCGGTGCAGGTGATACTCCCTTGTGTCGTTGCCTTTCTAGCCCGGTTGATCTGACTGCTGTCGCAGGACGCCGCACCCACGGAAGAGTCCAGCCCCGAACAGACCGCAGACAAGGACACAACGGCCAATGGCCATACCGAGAGGCCGACGAGTAATGGACATGCGAACCCACCGATAGAGAAGCCGACATACGACCCGGGAGCTGGGGGAGATGCCACCGCGAAACTAAATGCCCTCACACAGGAAAGAGAGGCACTACGAACAGAGGTCGAGATATTGAGGAAGCAGCTGGAGACAATTCAAGGAACACACGATGAAACCATTTCAAATCTCAAGACCGAGCTGGAGGAGACGTCATCGGCCAAGGAGCAGGCGGAGGAGCAGTACCAAAGCCTGCTGGAACGTGTCAATCACCTCAAGTCTACACTCGGCGAACGTCTGAAGCGCGATCGAGCCGAACTCGAAGAGGCCAAGGAGCGAATCGAAGAACTCGAGGCGCAGAACGAAGAGCTGCAGAATGGCTCGAGAGCATCTGAAGATGAGCTTGCTAAGCTCAAGGAGGAGCTGCAGGATACCTCTCGCGAGGCAAATAGCCTGCGCAGCCGCAGCAACTTGTCCCAGCAAAACTGGGTGAAGGAGCGAGAAGAGCTGACACGCGTGGTGGCCAGCCTCAAGGAGGAGGTGGAGACAACGACGAATGCCATGGGCGAGTGGGAGGTCATTGCTATGGAGGAACGATCCGTTAAGGAGAGCCTGGTAGAAAAGGTATCTGAACTGGAGGAGCAGATTCACAGCCTTAGAGAGGGCTACGAGAGCGCCGCATCCGAGCGAGATCATCAGTCGCAGGTTATCGACAACTTGCAGAAGGCGTTGCGCGAGATCCAAGAAGCGCGGAAGAAGGAGCTGCGCGAGATGGTCGAGACGTCAGAGGAGCAGCTCCAGGCCCTGAAGAAGCTGGTCCAAGATGCGGACGCCAGAGCCACGGAGGCCGAGACCGCCAAGGACAACCTCACCAAGGAGCTTGAGCGGACAGCGCCGTTCGAAAAGGAGGTCAAGGAGAAGAACCTTCTCATCGGCAAGCTGCGACACGAGGCCATTGTACTCAATGACCATCTCACGAAGGCCCTCCGCTACCTGAAAAAGACGAAACCTGAAGATAATGTTGATAGGTATGCTGCATTCACCAGCCTACACCATTGCAATCAACTAACCCTGCCTTAGACAAGTTGTCACGAATCACATGCTCCACTTCCTCACTCTGGACCGCGGAGACCCCAAGCGCTTCCAGATCCTGCAAGTCATGGCCGGCTACCTCAACTGGAACGACGAGCAGCGCGAGCAAGCCGGGCTCGCGCGGCCCGGCACCTCGACAAACAGCCTGCGCTTGCCAGCTTCCCCGTTCCACCGCACGCCGAGCACGCCATCCCTCAGCGCAGAGTTCTTCTCGGACACGCCGACGTCAGCCAACAAGGAGTCACTCGCCGACCTGTGGGCTGGCTTCCTGGAGCGCAGCGCAGAAGAGGGCCTGGATCAGGCTGGAGCGCCGCGAGACCGCAAAGATAGCGCCAGCAGCGCGGCAACGAGGCCTGACACCCGCGGCGGATAGAGGTCGTCATCGTGGTATGGACAGCCGTCTCTCAAGTGACGGGAGACGGACAAGCGGGGCTTCCTTTGGGTATCGAGAAACTCAGCGTGTTTCTCACGAAATGCATACCGCCGCGCTGTGACGATATCCAGGCAGCCGGCATGTTATACACATGTTATATAAAGAAGAAAACTGGCGTTGTTAGCGCCCGCGTGGGAGGGCAGGCATTCAGATGAGCGGGCATGTAGCATTGTCGTTGTTCAGGGGGACAGGGAGAAGAGGACCTGGTTCACGGAGACGGGAGGGCAAAGCCGGGGGGCTGTGATGGGAATGGCCCGATCCAACAACAGAGGAGGGAATGGGAACACTTTGCGCATTACCGGCCCTAGAGGCGTATTAAAAATAACATGTTTCTCTTCTGGACTGCACAAGAAGTATTTACAACGTATCTGCATTACTGGGAAAAGAGGTGCACATTGGTCCTGCGTCTAACACTGTCTATGTCTCTCATCTACCGCGAGTCTACTGCGCCTGCTCTTGGCCCTGTTCCAGAGGCGAAAACACGCTGTTGGCATAGTTCTCGGCATCGGCAGTGATGGTCTGGATATTGATACGGTTCTCGAGAGCATTGTTCACCCCCTCGATGACCTCCCGCTCCTCCATCACTTCCCTGACGAGCCGCACCTCGTGCAGCCAGTACGCCTGGCTCCTGGTCCTCAACTCCTCGTCCCTGAGCGTGGTGTTCTTGACGATGCCAAGGGCGTTCATCTTGCTTCGGACGCTGTTTAGCAGGCGGTTGCTCGCCTCGACGCGCTCCGCCTCGGAGGGCGGCTGCAGGAAGGCGCGGCGGGTGCTGGAGAGGAACAGGAGGCCGCCGAGGCCGACGTCGAGCAGCGCGAGGGCGACGTAGCGCAGGGCGCGGGCCTTCCAGTAGAAGAAGTCGATCTCGGGGAGGCGCAGAGCGGAGGCGTTGGCCGAGTAGTCGTACTGGTTCACCAGGCTCAGGTCGGCGATGCAGAGGGCGGCGGCGGCCATGGTTGCGTAGCTGCGCCAGCGCGCGCCGTCGCGCCCCGTGATGGTGCCGGACGTGACCACCGCAATGACGACCAGGTTCAGCAGGTGGAGGAGCACGATGGCGGGCAGGGCGTAGTAGAAGTAGCTCTTGGGCTCGTCGGACTTGCAAAAGGGGCAGTCGGCAAGGGCGGCAGGGCCGAGGTAGAGGTACAGCAGGCGGGACTCGAGGTTGACGAAGCGGGCGCGCAGGCGCTCGTCCGCCTGGGTGAGGAGGCCATCGGGGCGGAGGGAGGCAAGGCGGGTGAAGAGGACGTCGACGGGGATCTGGAGGCGGGACTGGGTGAGGGCGAAGACGTTTTCGGGCGCGAAGGGCGGGAGCGTCTTTGCGAGGTAGAAGAGGACGAGGACGGTCAGCACGCCGAGGGCGCGGGCGACATGAGGCGGTGGGGGAACCGGCTCGGCGCGGTGTTGCGAGGCAGTGCGAATAGAGCGGTAGGCTGAGATTGCCTTTGGCAGGAGGATTGGGCCGAAGACGAGGAGGAGGGAGCGCAGTCTGAAGTCGCAGAGTGTCAGTTGCTGTTGGTGGTGATGGACGTTGAAGTGGACAGGGTAGCTTACTCGGCCCAGCCAAAGGCCATGATGGGCGGTTATGACACGGCTGGCGTGTCTTGCCCTCCACAGACTGTACCGAAAATACAGAAACGCAGAATCGCCCAGAGTCTCGCGGCGGTACAGAAGCTCGAGAAGGCTGAGAGAAGTGTCTTCTTTGGAAAGTTGGAGGGGTCAAGGCGTAAGGCTGCCCGTGTTCCAAGGACACGGGTAAGATGGGTTTAGTTTCCGCCAAGAAACCATGCTTGGCTTACCTAAGTGTGAGGTACTCCAGGCGATAGAACCTAAGTTAGGAGCTGTGTCCGGGGCAGGGATCAGCTGGCTTTGGCGGCCCCGGGTGACGGCACGATGATGTATCCCCTGCAGGTACGCCGAGAGCTCTGGTCGATTGGGCACGACGACGTTACAAAGCCCGCCATCAGCAAAGTCAGCGCTACTAC